CCGTGCTTTCTGCAATCGCTATAACAGGGTTGAACGTAGTCTGCATTCTGTGGGCATTGATGTTCAGGGCATGTATGACAGCGAAAGCAGGGGCAGTCGACTTTTGGAACGACTTCGCCTGGGCCTTGATCAGCAGCGTTTGATTTTGGTTGCGAGTGGACAGTCCTTGCAGTTTGATGTCATCCGTGAAGCAGCTCAGATTCAGTTTCCTGAACATCGACCGACACCTGCAGTTGTGTACTCACGTGAGTTTGACAACCCTGGAAGATCAGAAAGTTCCCAAGCATCAAGACCTTCGCAGCCATATCAGAGACCTCTGGACAAAGGTCATTCCAAGGGCAAGGGCAAAGGCAATAGCAAGACATCCCATGGGTCTGGACCTTCCAAGACTTATGTGACTGAGGTTTCCAATGAACAACCTCAGGATCAGGAAGATGATGATGAGCCTCAGCAAGAGGCCGACGATGCTGAGCCTTTGGATGATGCCGACGAAGTTGGAGAGACGGCAGATGACGACCAGTCCAACACTTTGGAAGAAGATTTGGCTGAAGTGGCGCGTTGCTTGACAGTGACTGCTCGCAGACTTCAGGGGATCACTCTTGGAAGAAAGTTTTCAGGTCCTCCGAAGTCCCTGCAACAGCGCAAGGCCGAGAGTCACTGCGCAGTTTGCGGTGAGCGGGGCCATTGGAAGGGTGACCCTGAATGCAAGCAGTCTGGCGGCACTGACTCTGGCACTGGCAAGGGTGGATCCAAGCAAAAAGGGTCCAATGATCGAAAGCAACAGTCTGGCGGCAAAAAGGTGTTCCAGGTGAGCCATCCAGGGGGATATCATCGTGAGGTTGCCTTCAACGACACCCCTGAATATGACAAGAGCAACCCCTCGGATGAGACCTATGGCAAGGCTTTCACTTCGTTTATGGTTTGGGTCCCGGACTTTAAGATAAACCAGGTCTATGGCAACACCGCCAATTCCTTTAACCATTACCTCATCCTTGACACCGCATGCCAGAAGACATGTTGCAGTACGTCATGGTTAACTTCCTGGGAAAATCATGTCATGAAGTTCAACATCTACCCCAAGACTTTTCCATGTCGGAAACCTTTTGAATTTGGACACGGCCCTACTCAGTACAGTGAACAACATGCTCTTTTGTTTTCATGTTTTGATGGAACCCCTGAGACCACATGCATCATCGGAGCCAGCGTCCTCCCGACCACAAACGACATCCCATTGCTTGGCAGCAATCAGCTTTTGCGTGAGGCTCTCGGTGCAATCATCAACTTGCCGGAGAACCAGGCCCATTTGACCAAGCTGGGGTGCACGGTTCCGATTTTGATGTTGAACGGTCATTTGGCTTTGGACATTTCAGCATTTCCTTCACATGTTGATCAGACAATGCAGTGGAAGTTTGTTCATGAACATGCTGATCTCAAGTCCATTGATGAGTTTGCAACAGTTGAGAATTTGATGGCCACCCGTGAACCTTCTCTCAAATCAGCAGCACCTGATCTACACGATCAACCTGACTTTTCCAATTCGATTGCCGCGACAGCCGATGCCAGCTCCACCCAAATGGCTTCAGCATTGGCGACGCTGCGTGGCAGCTCTGTTCCATGCCGAGATCCTGCTTCTACGAGTGATGACCCAAGCATGCCGTCTCGGTCTTCGACCTCGAATGTGGCTGCAGCATCAGGATCCAATGAACATGGAACAGATGCAAGCTCTGTGGGACAAGGCAACCGCCCCATGCGAGCACCCGAAGTTCAATCGGTATGGAAACCGCCACGGCAGGTACAGTCAGTGCCTGCAGTGCGAAAAGAAATGGCAATGGAACGAAGATCTTCAAAAGTGGGTCGAACCAGCTCCATCGCGAAAGCAGCAGCAGCCGCTGCCTTTACCATCCTCGTCAACAGCTGCGCACTTCAAGGACAAGCGGTACCAGCCCAAGTTCTACCAGGAACATGCAGCGGATCCACCATGCCTCCCTCTGGATTCCATGCCCGAGCCGAAGAGTTCATTGAAACCTTCGAGGGCATCGAGGACCCGATCGGCTTCAGTCAAGAGAAGCCAGGAAGAGAATCAGGTGGTGTTCGTGGAAGACGAGGAGATGGAGGACTTCGACTGGGCCCTGGTCCAAGACGTGCCCAATCAGGGCTGAAGAAAGGTGCCCAGACTTGGTTGACAGGTCATTTGAAGGCCCAACAGAAGATCTATGAGAATGAAATGAAGATCATGGACAACATCCCATGCTACCGCACCTTGCACTTGGAAGGACCTCACACTGATGTCCTGACCTTGGATCTCATGGAAATCTTTGCAGGCCGTGGAAGGGTTTCAGAACTGGCACCGAGATTTGGTCTTCGAGCCGTTCAACCGATCGACATGAAGTATGGCCACAATCTCCACGCCCCAGAAGTCCGAGACATGGTGCTCAGGGCTGTATACAACTTGAAACCCCTGCTGTTGATGATCGAGTGGCCTTGCAAACAACTTCGAGATGAAGATCGTCCATTGGTGCGTTTTGGTGTTGAGCTATGTCGACTCCAAGATGAAGGCCGCCGACTATATCTTGGCGAGAATCCATTGAGATCAAGAATTTGGGATGAGCCAGAGGTCCAGTCACTTCGTGACGATCCTGATTGTCTTCAAGTTGAATGTGAAGCTGGTGCCTACGGAGCTGAGGATTCCGAAGGCTTTCCCATAGTGAAGCCTCATCGGTGGATCACAAACAGTGAGTCCATCGCAGCTCGGCTTGGTGAAAAGATGACCTATGAGCAGAAGATGTACACCAAGCCCATTGAAGGCAAGGAGACCAAGAAATCTGGCGAATACTGTGATGGCTTGGCTCTGGCAATTTTGAGTGGACTTCGAGAAGAAGCTTCAATTCGAAACCCTGGTCGCTTTTCCAGGAAGGTTGCCTCCAACCAGGCCTTCTACCAGAAGATTGGCTCCGATCCAGCGACTTGGAACAACATCATGGCTGAGATTGAGGGACGCTTCACCAGCATCAACAAGAAGCCCTTCTACATCAGCCTCAACGACCCTATCATGAAGAGCATCAGGACTGTGGTGCCGTGGAATCTCAAAAGAATCCAAGCAGCATGGTGTCCAACGACAAGACGGATGCCAACCGACTTTCCCTACACACATCGCGCCTGCGTGATGGTGACCAATGACGATGAGATCATGATCGAAGACGAAGATATGACATCAGTGGCATATCCCAAACAACGATTTCAGAAACCAGTTCGAATCGGCCTGTTCATCTACGGTGATGCTCCAGAAGATCAAGATGATCAACCAGTGATTAGATCTGGTAGTGGACCACCTTCGAAGGAAGACCTGGTCCCAGACTTGAGCACGGAAATTTGGTTTGAGAATGCCAAGATTCCGAAGGAGCTCCAGTCCAGCGTTGCTCGACTTCACTGCAACCTTGGGCATCCACCGAAGGCCGAGATCATCAGAATTTTGGCTGCATCTGGAGGACTTTCTTCGGCGACACTCAATGCCTTGGAAGCTCTCAGGTGTGGCTCTTGCATCAGGCTGACCAAGCCTGTGAAACCCCCAACATCTTCTACGGCGACTATCAAGCACCATGGATTTTTCGGAGACCATCTCCAAACAGACATCATCTACGTCAGAATCTTGACTGGCAAGGCCATCCCGGTCTTGGGCGTTTGCTGCGTCAACACCAACTTCCATGCAGCCACAGCGATACACGACCGCTGCCCAGAGACCATCCTGAATGCCTTGAAGCAGATTTGGTACGGCCCCTTTGGCCTTCCCATGTCAATCACGCCAGATGCTGACACGGCATACATGGGCGTTTGTCAGGATTGGCATGTCAACATGGGCATTGACTACAGGATGATCCCAACTGAAGAGGCTTGGAAGATTGGAAAGATCGGCCGACGCAATGCTTTGCTTCGGTCGCTGGCTGAACGACTCATTGACCAACATGGAGTTTCTACAGTAGAAGGGCTACAAGATGTTTTGGTGGCCTGCATTTTCTCCCTCAACAGCAGCACATACAGCCACGGTCGTTCACCATACCAGGCGGTGTTTGGACGAATTCCAAGGCCAGTTGGAGATCTTCTTTCAGACAACCGTGCATTGACCATCACCAACACCGACCACGACCCAGCTCTTCGACCTGAACTTCTTCGAGCCGAGGCCATCACCGCCTTGATGCAGATCTCATCTTCTCAGGCTGTGAAGAGAGCCTTGCTGCGGAAGACCCGGAACCAGAACGACTTGGCCAACCTCCAGCCAGGTCAAGCCGTGGCCTATTGGAGACTCCAAGGGCGATCGCGACAGCACAAGAAGGGCAGTTGGTGTCTGGCGAGATTCCTGGCCTATGACCCAGACAAGAAATCATGCTGGCTACAGGTGGGCAAGAACTCCATTCGCGCTGGGGTCAATCAGTTGCGATTGGCCAGTGGATGGGAATCATGGACACCGTCTACTGAAGATCTTCAACTTCTCAAAGATGCCCGACGCAATGTGGCTCAGGGACTCTGGCTTGATGATTCTGGGCCACCACCCACTGAGGAGCAAGAGATGACTGTGGATGACGAGGTGTTCAACTTCAGACCTCACAAGATGACTCGTCTGGAAGAACCTCGACATGACGAGGAACAGATCCTTGAAGGACAGCCCCTTGTTCCACTACCTGAAGCATCAGCATACGACGCACCTGAGCCATACAACCTAGCAACGGTCCCGGCAGCCCCCACGCTCCTACCACTGAGCAGGGGCATGGACCACACACACCAGCCTGAAGCAGACAACCAGCCACAGCAGAACATACAGCGACAACAACATCCGTTTCAGCAAACGACCATACAACAACAACAACTACTACAAGAGCAACATACACAGAACATACACCAGCAACACTTCGATCAACGACACATCACAATCAACGTGGATTCACCAACATACCAGCAGTTTGGTCCGAGGGTAAGCTTCGGTCCGCTACCACCGACTCCACGACAACGACGTTCCGCAGCAGCACCGTACACACCACCAGCACAACCGACTACACCAGTTCCAGAACAAAGACCAGCAACTGAAGACACACAACCACAGGTCATGGCACGACCTGCTACACCAGCAATTGAAGCAACAACCACTGAACCACAACAAGCACCTGATGAGTCGATGATTCCGACAACAGGAATACCACCAACACATCAACCACCACAGACACTTTTCACAATCTACGACAACTCTACCGCTACATTAAAACCACTACACTGGGACGGCTCCCCAGACATCACTGACCCTTTTCACCACCACCAAACAGCATATAGAACATACCTTACAAGCAACAAACGCAAGATCGACATGAAGGGCATTACCGATCCAGACAGGTCCGATGCCGAGACCTCAGACGACGATTTGTCTCTGTCCAATAACAGATCCATGACGAGACAAGAACAAAAACAGTTGGATCGTGAAATTCCATGGAGAGACATCATGGAACTCCCCAAGATGGACTTTGATGCCTTCGTGGGATCTGCCCAGAAAGAATTTCAGGGGTGGATGAAGTGGTCAGGAGTGGTGCCCCTGACAAGCCGGGAAGCCAAACGAGTCGAAAGCAATCCCAAGCTCCTCAAACGCATCCTGAAGAGCCGCGCTGCTTACCGGGATAAGGCTCGTGGAACAGGAGCCTTGAAGGCGAAAACAAGAGTCGTCATCATTGGATGCGGTGATCCCGATCTCAGACAATTGAGCAGGGACAGCCCAACACCCAGCAGGTTGAGTGAGTTCGTAGTGCTGGCCGTTGCGTCATCCGGCGCAAACAAACTGTTCAATGGAGACAACAGAATTTGGCATCTGTGGTTGTCGGACGCTGCTCAGGCGTTTCTTCAAGGTCGACAAGATGAGTCCGAAAGAAGTGGCCCCATCTTCATGAGACCTCCCAGAGATCCAATTCAAGAAGCGGCCGGTGCATTCCCAGCCGAGCTCTACCAAGTTGTGGGCAATTGCTATGGCTTAAGCAATGCCCCTAGAGTTTGGTTCAACCGAGTGACTGAGGAGTTGGTTGAACACGACTTCCACATTCACAGTTTCGACAAATGCTTGTTCTATCATGTTGGCAGTGATGGATTGTTAGACTGCGTTCTGATTGTGCACGTGGATGACTTTATGGCCACGTTCAGCAGTTCTTTTGACAAGACGATTCTTGAAGGTCTTTTCGAATGGGGCTCCGTGACACTCATTGATGAGGATCACTCTGGCGAGTACCGCGGCAAAGAGATCAAGATGCTGAAGAAACCTGATGGCCGAATTCACTACACGGTCACGCAGCAGTCCTTCCTTGCCAACCTCCAAGTGAGTGGATGTATCCAGTGGTTGGGCGGACAGTCTCGGCCAGACTTGGCCTCCACAGCTTCGCTTTGCAACAAAGGCAGTGAGACAAGGACCTCAGACCTTGGCCGTCTTCACGAAGCTCTCAAATATGCCAAGCTGACCGACACCTCCGGCTTGATTTTTGGAGATGTGCCTTTGAACCGAGCATCATGCTTGGTGACCTTTGCCGACAGCAGCTGGGCAAATGCGGCCAACTATTCATCCCAGTTTGGGGTGATCATTGCTCTTTGTCCATCACAGGTGACAGAGACGATATGCAATGGCTTGATCTTGCACTTCAAGGTCAAAAACAAAGACCAGTGAAAGTGTCATTGCCCAGTGACCACTTTGATTGCGAGGCTCCTATGACCTTGAGAACGCGAGCACTGACTTCAACTACCGATGCCTTGGTTCGAAACGTATCATGCCCCCACGTTGCACGTTTTTCAGTTTGGCCAATTGAGCCATAACATACTTTTGAGGCGCCATGACAAAACAGCTGCAGTTGAATTTGAGCGAGTGCATTTGATTTGACAGATCCTGCCGCACGCATTTCGCTGTGAGTATATATATAATATATATATATATACATGTGCATATATATATATTATGATTTTATCTGTGCATATATGTATATATATATATATTATGAAGTATATATATATATATACACATGTGCGTATATATATATTATGATTTTATCTGTGCATATATGTATATATTATATGCAGTATATATATATATACACATGTGCGTATATGTATATATATATTATTATTATGATTTTATCTGTGCATATATGTATATATTATATGCAGTATATATATATATATACACATGTGCGTATATGTATATATATATTATTATTATGATTTTATCTGTGCATATATGTATATATTATATGCAGTATATATGTATATACATGTGCGTATATATATATATATATATATATTATGATTTTATCTGTGCATATATGTATACATTATATGCAGTGTATATATATATATACTGTATATACATGTGTATATATATACATATATATAATGATTTTATTTGTGCATATATGTATGTATTATATGCAGTAATTGTATATGTATATACATGTGCGTATATATATATATATTGTATACATATGAAATATTTCTCACATCACTGCATTTCCATTCCTTTTTGGGATGATGATCCCCAACCGAGTCACACTTTGAGGTGGGTTTTACCATCAATCAGCATCCGCCCAAGTGGTGCTGACTGGCTCAACGCGAGCGCCATGAGGGGCCCAGCCGAGGCTGGATGGTGACAAGAAGATTGCAGTTCTGGCCAAGACGCTGCAGGCCATGAGTTCGCCCCAGGTTTCTGAGCAGTTTTTTTCAGGTTGATGGTGGTGAGTATATCATCATCTACTGTACATCAACCATGAGATGGCAGCAAAACCCTGATGGTTCTGTGGGTCACCTTTACAAGGCAGTTGCTTGTGGTCCTGGCAGCATGGCATCGAATCAATCCCATGTTTGTTTCCGTAGCCACCCGTAGCCAGCTTGGCACTTGAGGGGGACCTGCGGGAGATTGACGCAGATGGAATCAAGGAGAAGGGCAAGGTGTGGTGCTTTAGTGCTGCGCCTCCTTTACCACTGACTAAAACTGCAAAAATAGATGAAGATCTAGGACTTTTAGTTATAGAATGTATGTAAACAAGACGCAGTCTGGAGTGTGGGGCACCTAATTCTCATGCAAGACTTCAGGATGCAGTTAGTGTGAACTAAGTGGATACAGAACCAGAGTTACGGGGGTTATATCTGAACTTACAGGAACAATTGCTATGGTTCTAGCCCTTTACGCCAACACCCTCAGCAAGATCAGAAAGCTGGAAGTGTGGGGCTAGACTAACACAGTCAAGTCACGGATCCTGCATATTTGTAGCAGGGATATGCTTTTCCAGCGAGCGCGCTTTGCCCCTGCGGATGCAGCAGGTCTACGTTCGCACAATCCACTGCAACTTTGCTGAGCTGCAAGGGGATGATATGAAGGAGGCAGGAATGTGTCTCCAAAATGGTGATCTTAATGCGAACATTGTGATTAAGCAAGGGATGCGGGAACATTTTTCCCCATTAGCGATAGCTTCGGGTTGTTAACTCTAATTAACTCTAAAGGCGGCCGGGCGCCATCGGGTTCATGGCTGCCGGCCTGGGCGGGGTGTGTCCCGGTGTCTCGGTGGTGTCTCGGTGGTGTCTCGGTGGTGTCTCAGTGGTGTCTCGGTGGTGTCTCCGGGGCATCTTGGTGGTGTCTCGGTGGTGTCTTCGTTCGACGGGGAATGTTTTTTCTACTTCCAACTGCCTAGCTTAGAGGCTTTGTTGGTTTTTGCGGTACTTGGTTGATTCCGTTTTGGCGACATAGATCTCCAAACTACTCGCGCCCGACGAAAATCCTGATGCCGGATTGTCGTTTGTTGCGGGTTGAACTTCTATCGGAAAGGGAATTGACACTACAAAGGTTGATGCGCATTTGTTTGACGTCGTCAGCCAGCCAGGGTTTGGTGCCAATTTCAACTCCTCAAGGGCAAACCTGTGAATTGGATCGCTTGTGCAATAGCCTTGGCAGGAGTGGGCCAAGCAGTGTGAAAAGGCTCGGAAGAAAGGCGCTCGGACCATTGGTGAACAAGAGCACCGTATTTTGCGTAAGCACATGTAGTGTACTTGGGGTCAGTTTGCTGAACCCAAACCTTAGAGCATTTCATGTTGGTGGCACTGCTAATTTTGCTGTGACAAACTGCAGGTTTGCGGTAGCCGCAGAGAAAGTGGTACTTCTGCTGGTATGGCAGCAAGAATGCCAGGGCCTCGCAGGTTTTAGCCTTGGGACAGCCATGGTTTTGGCCATGGTTTTGGCCATGACTATGGCACCCTGGTTTTCATAGCAAAAGCAGCTGGCAAATGCATGTCGATGCCCCACATCTCGATGGTTCCCATAGATGTTGACCCAACCCCCAAGTGCCAGAGTTCTATGTGGAGTTAGTTGGCGAGGATCCTAGTTTCTCAACAGCTTCGGAAAGGTGTGGGGTTTTCTTTGGGCTAATACCCCTCAGGCTGCAATGACCAAAGTTTATTCAAAGGAGGGGTGCGTCCCATTCTGAATCACTAGGCTATTTTTTGTGAACTCCCACTATTCATCAACTAGTAAGGTGCTTTATTGATAGGGTTCCGCAAAAAGATAGAAAAGTAAAGCGCGTATTGTTTCGATGGTGATTTACATACCACCCTTATCTCCAGGAATCCTGCATTCTTCCGATTTGTTGAAGTGACAATTAACAGCAGCCCCTCTAGAATCTCCTCATTTAACTGCCCCCAAATCGAAAGCCTTAGTTGAGTATTGAGTATTGGAACTCTCCATTTTTCTTTGTGCTACATTGGTCGTATTTCATATCACCGTCTACCTCCGCCCAGGAAGCCTTGGATGCGGAAAAGTGGCATTACCCCGATGGCTTCTTTATGCTGGCGAGCATGACGCAGGTGCACCGCGACCCGCAGCGGCAGGACTGAGAGACATGGGCAAGCCAGGGCTGCACTTGAGTTCCCCCATGAATCGGAAGTGGCAGGGATTTAGAGGAATTCGGGCTAGAAATTGTTTTTTTTTCGTTCTTTTGCCAGAGTC